CAGGGAGATCAGCGTGAAGGAGTGCGACGGCGACGTGCGGACGGAGCGCTACTACGAGTCTCTGGAGAGGCAACAGCGGCCAGGGCGAGAGGGATCCCAGTGATGCCAGACCGAGCAATCCGAGATCAGCATCGGCTCGCTCGCTGGCCTTTCCGCACCTGGTGCCTATCCTGCATCGTGGGCCGCGGCCAGGAAGACCCGCGCAGTCGCTTGGCTGACCCCGGCCGCCTGATCCCGCTTGTCTGCGTCGAGAACCTGTTCCTGGGGGGCGCCGAGGGCGACCCGCTCGCTGTTCTGAACATTCTGGAGTGCCAGTCGGGAGCGATCGAGAGCGCGCAGATGACGGCGATGGGGGCCTGCAGGCTGCGCTGTGGCGGGGTGATGCGCATGTGGGGCCTCGACCGTGTTCTTCTCGGTGCCGATGGCGAGCCCGCCATCCAGGCGCTGGTCCGAGCCGTGCAGCTGGCTCGAGACGAGGAGACCGCTCCTCGCAGTGGACCCCAAGAGCAAGGGAGCTATCGAGAACGCCAACAAGATGGTCGAGGGCATGTGCCGCACTTTGAGGGCGTCGATCGAGTCTCGGTACAGCGCCACGCTCACGCTGAACCACTGGATCATGGGCTGGATGATTCGACGCTCGGGCTGGATCCTGTCGCGGTGCCCAGTCAAGGAGGATGGCCTCGCTCCCTGCCGGCACTTGAAGGGTCGCGCCTACGGAGGAGCTGTCTGCGAGTTCGGCGAGACGGTTATGTGCAGCATCCATAATATGCCACTGCGTGGCTGAGATCCGATGGGGCAGAGCCATCTGGGAAGGACAGCCGCACGGACGAGTGCCTCCTGGCGACCGCTGCTGGCAGGAAGACGGCGAGGACCTTCGGTGGGCGCGTGGGGGGTCAGCGCTGGTCCAAGAGCTTGTTCAACAAGGGCGAGTGCGCGGGGGCGCTCGCGCGGGACCAGAGGCAGCTCCGCCTCCCCATCGCGCCGTCGCTGCATCGCGAGCTCGATCATTGAGCGAGTGGGACCTGCGCTTGGCAGTGACGGCTGCCGCGGGCTCGGCCATCCACGCGTTGAGGCCTGCCGAGAGCGCATCGGGGGCTTGATGATGGCCGAGAAGGAGAAGGCGAAGCAAGAGGCAGTAGTTTGAGCGGCCGCGTCCGCAGCTGCAGCCGCGCCCCCCAGGAGGAGAGCCGCATGCTCAACCAGGGCCTGGCGCCGCACATCCTGAACCGATGCCGTCTCCAGCCGTGGCGCAGAGCCCGCAACCTGCTACAGGGGCCGACCAGGGAGGGCGGCCCCGCAGACGGCGGCTGGAGGCGGGCGCACCTTCGGACTCCATGCAGGGGTATGCCGTGGAGCTGCCGCAGCAGGGCGGCATGGAGCTCGGCATGATCGAGATGGATTTCAACGGCACCCTGGCGGAGGCGAAGCGGGGGCCGAGGCAGAAAATTATCGCAGGTCTGTTCGTAAACATGGCGACTGCTGTTCTCGCGCTGACATGCGACGCCGCCCCCCGCGACGACGTGCCCGACATCGACGAGCAAGGCCACTGCGACGGCGAGGCGAGTTGCCATAATGTCTTCGGGGCGAGATCTGGGAAGAGGCTGGATCCCGCCGTGGTGAGGCGGGGCAGGGGGGAGGGGCGCAGGCAGATGGAGGAGTCGCAGGTCTTCGATAGAGTGCCCGAGAATCCGGCGAAGGGCAAGCGCGTCCGAGGGAAGTGGGTCGATGACGAGCGCTTCGACGTTGACGGCAAGGAGTCGGTCAGATCGCGTTTCGTGGCCATGCAGTTCGTCTGGGGCGTGCGCGACGACACCTTCGCAGGCACTCCACCACTGGCAGCATTCAGGCTGGTGAGCTCCTTCGCCTCAAGCCTCTACTCCACGGTGATCGGCTACGACGGCGTGATCGCGCTCTACGACGTGTCGGTGGCTTCTTTTCACGCGTACATTGATGAGGGCGTGCACGTGGTCCCAACTCGCGGAGAGGAACCAGAAGGCATCGTTTACCAGCTGAAGCGCGCTCTCTACGAGACGAGACGCGCATCCTTCCTGTACCAGGACCTGATCATGGAGGTCATGGAGAAGGGCGGAGTCGCGCGCATCACGGTAACGGTGCAGGTCTACTACCACAGGGAGAGGTTGCGGATGGTGATCGTGCATGGGGATGACTTCCTGGCTGGAGGAAGGACAGCGTCTCTGGACTGGCTCGACGAGTTGGCAAGGCGGCGCTTCAAGGTCAAGGTGATGCCGATGGTAGGCAGCCCTAGGCAAGGAGGAGTCGAGTCAGGGAGCTTCCTCAAGCGGACGGTGACGTGGTGCTCCCAAGGGTTCGGTATCCAGAGCCACCGCAAGCACGTTGAGACTCTGGTCAGCACCATGCTAAACAGGAAGGTCGGTGAGAGCTGCAGCACGAAGCGGGCGATCACCCCCTCCTCCAAGACCATAAGGAAGGACTGCAGGGAGTCATCGGACGAGCTCAGCATGGAATACGCGACCACCTACCGCAGCATTGCACCCGCTGCCCTGTACGTGGCTCATGACCCGTTCGACATCCAGCAAGCCGTGGGGGCCCTCGTGAGGGGCATGGTTGCACCCACTTGGCGCCGCTGGCTACTACTACAGCGGCTGGCGAGCTACCTGGAGCAGCGCCCGCAGTTCGAGCTCTTCTTCGAGTTCCAGAGGATGCCCAAGGTGATCGTGGCGGAAGCCGATAGCGATTTGGCGTCCGAGCCTGGCCGGAGGTCCGTGGGCGGGGGATTCCTGTTCATCGGCTCGCGCCGGATCGACGGCTGGAGCAGCCAACGGGGCAATCGCGCGCTGAGCAGCGCGGCGGCGGAGTTCGCGGGGATCGTGAAGGGCTCGGCGAGAGGCATCTGGTTGAGGGGCGTGATGCTGGAGAGGGGTCTCGAGATGGCCCTGCAGGTGAACGCGGGCGGCTCGGGGGCCAAGGGCGCGTCGCGCTTGGGAAGCGGAAAGGTGCGCCACCTGGAGACGAAGCGCCTCCGGGTGCAGGAGAAAGTCAGGGACGAGACGATCTCGATGGCGAAGATTCACACGGACACGAACAGGGCCAACATGCAGACCCAGCCGCTCGAGGGACCGAGATTCCTGAAGCTGCCGGCGATGCTTCACTTCGGACGCCGGTCTCAGGGCGCACGCAGGTGTTGGGATTGATGTTGGTGGCGACAATACTTGGCGGAGTTCAGGGAATGGAGATGGCCCCAGCGAGCCAGGCGGTGATGGTGATGGACAGCCCGGCCGCGATGGTGCAGGTCTGGGCGACGGCCATCACGGTGATGTTCGGATCGGCGCTGGCGGTCGTGTTCCTGTCCGCGTGGATTGGCTACCGCGTGTGCAGGGCTCCAATGCGGTTCCTGAAGGATCCCTCGGAGCTGGTGAGAGATGGCGACGACCACGTCGCTCAGGTGGAGGCCCCACCTGGAGAGGAGCATCTGGCGATCGTGGATAGCGGCATCAGTAGACACACTTAGACGACTCCGATCAAGCACTACTGGGCGTAGAGAGAGACGGAGCTGCGCGGGGAGTGCCTGCGCTTGGGCATCTATCGGGGAGGACAGCTCAAGTCGCAGCTGATTGAGGGCCTGCTGAACGGAGCAGGCCGCAGGTAAACCTTGCTTATGGTGCAGCAGCACCGCTCTTCGCACGCTCGACGCGCCGTGCCGGAGCGCGCGTCGTCTGTTTGAAGAGGACCATCCTCGCCAGTAGCTCGAGGGCGCGAGGACATGCAGCCCAGCGTTGAGGCGCTGGCCCTCAGAGGATGAGCTAGATCGGCCCGTGGGCACAGGTACCAGATTTTGTTTATGCTGGAGTTACTCAGGACGGTTTCTCTGCAGTAAGATAACCCCCAGGCTAAGCCCAAGGCCCAAGGAGGAGTGCAGCACAGAACCAGTACCCCCCCTTCATCCGTATGCCGTATATTACGAGGACGTTTCTAGGAAAACGATTCGGGAGTTTCTATCGGACTTCACACGTGTTCATGTTTGATCGTTCGATGCATCCGCAACCGTTCTGGCTTCAGCGCCCTGAGGTGACACGTTCATCGAGGATGTAGGCCCTGCGGGGCCCAGTTCGATCTCGGAACGCTAGCGCGATTCCACGGATATATATATATATACATACACATAAATACGTACATGTATGTATGTATGCATGCGTGTACATTTGTTTGTTTGTTTGTTTGTTTGTTTTGTTGATTTGTTTGTTTGTTCGTTTGTATGTTTGTATGTTTGTCTGCATGCATGTATGTATGTATGTCTGTATGCAGACTTGCATGCATGCTTGTTTGTTTGTTTGTATGTATGTATGTATGTATGTATGTATGTATGTATGCATGTATGTGTATATATATATATATGTATGGACGGATACATTTAGGGGCCTACCATTTCCAACGAGGTTCTCTCACTGAGGAGGAACAGCGGTGGCGTCATCTGCCACAGAAGGGCGGCCAGGTCACAGCAGGGGTGCGGAGGGGAAGGAGGACGAGGAAGAGGAGGAGGAGGAGGAAGATGAGGTGGAGGAGGAAGACGAGGAGGAGGAGGAGGGGGAGGAGGACGAGGACGAGGACGAGGACGAGGACGAGGAGGAGGAAGATGAGGAGGAGGAGGAGGAGGAGGAGGGGAAGGGAGGAAGAGGACTGTTTGCTTGCTACCGATACTTCGACTGGATAAAAACATGGGGTTAATGCCCTGACGGATTATGCATGAATGGGAGAAAGGGGAAGGATGAGGAGGACAATGTTTGAGGATGCTGGTAGGAGGATGCTGCGCGGGCCGGAGTTCTGAGCTAACTAACCTCTTCAAAATTCATCCCCGCATTTTTGCCTGGTGTACGATCTGGCCAGAATTTCGATAAGAGTCTGGCCTTAGCGACGAACGCTTCCCAGGAGGCCCAGGAAGGGGGAACAACTTCGAAATCCTCGCCGCCGTCGTGGAGGAGGAGGAGGAGGAGGGAGGGTGGCGGGCGCTCGTCTGCCCTCAGGGCAGCGTCCTCGGCCACCGGGCTGCCCGTGTTCTCCCAGCCGAACGCGTCCGCAGGAGTCGCGACGCCCTTTGCAGGCTTTGGGGCCCCACGGCATCGGGCACGCTCGTCGCTCCCCGCTCTCCGCCTCTCCTCCTCGAGGATCCCGGAAGCGGATCGAGGAATCAAGTTGGCCCACCCATCCTGTGGTGCTGGGTCTTCGTTTTGGGGAGACGGCGCCACGCGTCTCCTTCCTTCCCTCCTGCTGCCCCCCTCACTTCTCACAGCCTTGCCTCTGCCCTCAGCATGTGCTCATCGTCATCAGCAGCATCCATCATCACCGCGACCATCATCATGATAAGCATCCTCATCATCGTCATCGCCAGCACCATCAGCCATTCTGGCACATCCCTCGCACGTCTCGTGGCCCCATAGGGAGCTCCACCGACGGCCCCGGCGGTGACGTTCGCATGCGTCACCGCCTCGCATTTCGGCACACCCCTCACACGTTTCGTGGCCCGAGGGGAAGCTCCACCGAAAGCCCCGATGGCGACGTTCGCATGCGTCCCTGCCGCACATGTCGGCACACCCCTCGCACGTTTCGTGGCCCCTTGAGGAGCTCCACCGACGGCCCCAGCGGCGACGTTCGCATGCGTCCCTGCCGCACATGCCGGCACGTCCCTCACACGTTTCGTGTCCCCATAGGGAGTTCCACCAGCGGAGGATCCGCTGCACGTGCGGCGCGGTCGCTTTCACGAACGTGCAGGTGGGCAGTCGGCAGGCCACTGGGCCCCAGAGGGGGATGACTGCCCAGGCGGCTGGCCGCCGGCAGGAGACCAGTCGCCTGGGCGACGACTAGGTGCACCCTATGTCGGGCAAGCTGTGTGGATCCAAACATGTTATGCAATTTATGTGGAGCAATAGGTGTGACGCAATCTATGTTGTGCAATCTCTGTGGTGCAATCAAGGCGGCGCAGTTGATGTTGTGCAATCTATGTGGTGCAGTATGTGTGGTGCAATCTGTGTGTTGCAGTAATCTTCGTTCGCAGAGCGTTGTCAAATCAATTGCTCGCGCAATCATCCCGCCCACCCACCCGCAATGTGGCTTGGAAAACCCATGCGGGAACGATTGCGATGACTGCTTGGGCGCTGGCTGGCGTACCACTGCGGCCGCGCTGGCGTGCGCAGGCTAGCGCGCAGAGCGGCCAGCTACTCTGCCGCGACGGACGCGGCTGTGGTGGCGCTGACCGCTGGGGACTTCTCAATCCGTCTCGCAAGCCGCGCTGACGCGTGGGGAGATCAGTGCCAGTCGGTGAGTCGAACTGTCGCGGTATCAGGGCGACGTCGACAACGGCACATGCAATGCTGATAGTAGCGATGTTGGTGACGGTAGTGTCAATGACGACGGCAGAAGCAAATATCGGCGCCGATGCTAATCACGCCGATGGCGACGATGGTGTTCTCGCGTCGGTGATGAAGGTTTTGGAAGGATACTGACATGCGCGCGAGGCCGACGCGCGCGGGTGGCCCGCATGGTACTATTCTTTGACAGGGTCGTGCCCCCCCAGCACGCACGCCATGGCGTTCGAGTGATCTCACTCCACAGGCCTGCCACTCAGGCGAGACGTCCCCTCTCGGACGGCCTTTTGCACCCAGCCGGCGAACCTGTAGGGAACGCGACACGGTCCTCCTTCTTCTCCTCCTCCTCCTCCTCCTCCTCCTCCTCCTCCTCCTCCTCCTCCTCCTCCTCCTCCTCCTCCTCCTCCTCCTCCTCCTCCTCCCCCCCCTCCTCCTCCTCCTCCTCCTCCTCCTCCTCCTCCTCCTCCTCCTAGGACCGCACAGCTTGGCGAAGTGCTCCGTGAGGGCCCCGTTTTGGAAGGAACCGCCCCCCCATCCGCGCAGCTGGTGCAAGCGTGAACACGCCCGGCCCCTGATACGGAAGAACACTCCACGAGAGAGCCTCGTTCTGGAAAGGGACGGCCCTCCATCCGTGCAGCTTTCACGTGTGTTTCATATGAGCGGGCTTCTCAATCGAGAGCTCTGTTTTAGAAGGAACCGCCCGCCATACTTGTAGCGGTCGAGCAAGGTTTCGCGCGTGGTGGTATTTCCAACGAACTCTTAGGCGAGAGCCTTATTTGGAGAAGGGACCGCCCTCCATCCTTGCAGCTGTTACATTTTTCCTGGTCGATCAATCTGAGGGGATCTCAATCGAGAGTCTCATTTTGAAAAGGAGCCGCCCTCCATCCGTGCACCCGTTGCACAACTTGATTATCGGGGTGCAGTTTGCCAGACTGTCTTTGACAACCATGTAACTGTTGCACAGTGTTGGCACGAATATGCGCGGCGTTCAGGCGAGAGCCCCATCTCAGACTGAAAGGGTACCAGCTTCTATCTGTGTAACTATTTGATGTGTAGGCCCTTTGGTAGTATCGAAGACGCCTACGGCCTACGGCGAATCACCGCCGCCCCTGCCTTTTGGAATCGCCCACGTGGCCGAACGTTTTGGCCAGAGCTCTGCAAAGCCATCGGACCACATGTTCCCCCAGCCGTTGTTGAAACCCTTCGGGGAAAGCGGGGGGGATAAAGAAGAAGCGGAGGATAGGGAGGAAACGTTGAGATGAGGAGGAGGAAGAGGAGGAGGAGAAGAAGGAGGAGGAGGAGGAGGACGAGGAGGAGGAGGCGGAGGAGGAGGAGGCGGAGGAGCAGGAAGAGTAGGAGGAGGACTCTTAGGGGCCTCCTGGGAGCTTCCAGGGGGCCTCTTGGGCGTCTTGGGCCGATCTTTGGGCGTCTCAGGGCCACGTTGGGCCGTCTTGGAGGCCGCTTGGGGCCCTCATGGCCGTCTTCGGGCCCTCTTGGCCTTAGAAAAGTCATGCCAGAACATCTTTTTCGGAGCCCTGGGGCACGCGGGAAGCCCCGAGAGATTTGAGAGTTTCGGGGAGGGCCGAGGCTTCATGGATTCGGCAAATGACCCGAGGACGGGCCCACTCCGTGCACCGAGGCACGGCGGCGGATGCTGTACAGAAGCCTCAAGCGAAACGCCCGGGCCTGCCTATGGACACGTCTGGTGGGCCGACGGGGATGAGTTCTGCATGGGGGCAAGGGGAGGAGGAGGAGGGGGAGGAGGAGGAGGAGGAGGAGGGGGAGGAGGAGGAGGACGAGGAGGAGGATGAGGGGGAGGAGGGGGCGAAGAAGATGAGGATGATCGTTCCGGAGGCCTTTGACGGTCCTCGGAGGCCTCTGGGGGCTTCCTGGGGCCCAAAGAAGAGCCAAGCCCGCGTCAGACACCTCGATCCCCGCCGATTTTCGATTCTCGAAACTGGCTGAGCGGGTTCGGACGTGCGGGCACTGGCGAGCAAGCCGTGCCCTGCCGAAGCCGCGGTGCCCTCCTCAGGCAGCCACATGTGAGCCTCACCCTCTACAGCACTTCGATTTGGGTGAGCAGGAGCTCACAACTCGAGAGTATTCGAAGAAGACGAAGAGACGAAACATACTAATATTATTCGTGATAAAAAATAAGAGAAATAAGAGGAATCATCAACACTAATACTTATGCTGCTACTACTACAATTATTATTATTACTACTTCTATTACTACTACTACTACTACTACTACTACTACTACTACTACTACTACTACTACTACTACTACTACCACTATTATATCTACTACTACTACTACTACCACTATCACTAGTACACCCACTTCTAGTACTACTACTACTACTGCTACTACGACTACTACTACTACCACTACTACTACTACTACTACTACTACTGCTGCTGCTGCTACTACTACTACTACTGCTACTACTACTACTACTACTATTACTACTACTACTACTACCACCACTACTACTACTACTACTACTACTGCTGCTGCTGCTGCTGCTGCTGCTACTACTACTACTACTATTACTATTACTACTACTACTACTACTACTAACTATACTACTACTACTACTACTACTACTACTACTACTACTACTGCTACTGCTACTGCTACTGCTACTGCAACTGCTACTGCTACTGCTACTACTACTACTACTACTACTACTACTACTACTACTACTACTACTTACTACTGCTGCTGCTGCTGCTGCTGCTGCTACTACTAACTACTACTACTACACTACTACTACTACTACTACTACTACTACTACTACTACTACTACTACTACTACTACTACTACTACTACTACTACTACTACTACTACTACTACTACTACTACTACTACTACTACTACTACTACTACTACTACTACTACTACTACTACTACTACTACTACTACTACTACTACTACTACTACTACTACTGCTGCTGCTGCTGCTGCTACTACTACTACTACTACTACGACTACTACTACTACTACTACTCCTACTGCTGCTGCTGCTGCTGCTGCTACTGCTACTACTACTACTCCTACTACTACTCATAGTGTACTGCTGCTACTACTACTGCTGCTACCACTACTACGACTACGAATAGTACTAATAATCATCACTTTATTCGTAGTACCACTAACAATCGTAATAACCATAGTAATCGTACTAACACTTACAACAGTAATATTGATAATATGAATCTGCACAAGCATAGATTTTCGGAGATCTGCGCAGATTTCTTGGATCGTCGCTGGACCCCCACGGCGTCGCCTCCAGCGCCGATCCAATCAATCTGCGCGGACCTCCAAACATTGGATATGTTTAGACACGTTTTTTTAAACCCCGCTCGGGCCCGCTCGCAATTTCACAGTCCCCACATGTGGACCCCTGCTGGTCGAAATCGATGGGCAGTGGACGAACGAACAACACACACCCATACCCATAGGGGGGACGGAGGAGGCGATGGTACGTGTTGTCGGCTGGGGGTCCCCGCTCGAACGGGAGCCTCCCCCGCGGTCCGACAACTCGCACCCATAACCATGAACAGGCCTCCTCCCTCCGACCCCTCTATCGGTATGGGTGTGTGTGTGTGTGTGTGGGTGTGTGTGTTGTTCGCACGTCAGCAGGAGGGCCATGGTCACATGCTGGAGGGCGTCGGCTGTGCACCGAACACACGCCCACGCCCCGGCCAGGC